TATTTAGCTGTAATGATAGGTGCTAACTAACTTTCTACTTACTAAGAACTCCGCGGACGGAGTCTGATCTAAGCAGGGGAGGATGTGATATCAACTAATATGTGTGACTTTAATTATGTCTATAGGAGTGCGTAGAGGAGATTTGGTGGATGGTATTAGTATATATATAACCATGTAGATCCCTCCATTCCTTTATAGCTTAGGTAGAATTATAAAAGGGGCTAGAATCCCTCGATATTAGCGGGACATGTATGGGGTGGCCTCTGGCCTACCCCCTACCCTTGCATAATTTGAAGGCTCTACGCCCCCTGCAATGAACGATTATCCCACTAGCACTACAGGAAGTATTATTTTAATAATTACCTAATTCTCCCTAGATATTAGTAGTAACTACTAACACTAGGTCTATGCCTACATGGTACCTAAGCTAGGCAAAGGCACTAATTTAATCTTAGGAATTCTATAGATAAGAGATTAGAGAGTAGTGGTAGAGGCTAAGAGACCCTAGCTAAGGCTTATAGATAGGTTTATAGTAGAGAGCATGAAGAATAAGCTAAAACTAGTAATAAGGTAGATTAGCACCTAAGGATTTACTATTTATAACTAATAGTAGAGAAAGGATAGGACTATATAGATCTTTGCTGCTAGTATTAAGGATATTAAGAAGGCCTTATGGGTTAAGAGGTATACTAACCTATCTATGAAGCTGCTAGTATATTACTATAAGTTCCTAGAAGTATTTAATAGGGGGAAGGCTGATAAGCTACTACCATACTATCCTAGAGTTAACTATTAAATTAAGTTAGTTAAAGATAAAAAAGGGAAGTAAATAGAACTACTATAGGGACCATTATATAGCATGTCATGCAGAGAACTCTTAGTGCTATAGAAGATGTTAATAGAACTATTAGAGAAGGGCTTTATTCATGCTAGTAGCTCTGCAGCTATAGTACTAGTGCTCTTTGCATATAAGCTAGGAGGTGGACTATAATTTTATATTAATTATTATGCCCTAAATATAATTATGAAGAGGGATTAATACCTACTACCCTTAATTAATAAGACCCTAGAACACATTACAAAAGTAAAGTAGTTTACTAAGCTAGATATTATTACTACTTTCTATAAGATCTATATCACTCTAGGGGATGAGTAGTTAACAGCCTTCTACACATAATTTAGCCTATTTAAATAGCTGGTTACCCCCTTTGGCATGGTGAACACACTAAGTACCTTCTAATAGTATATTAATTAGATGCTCTGAGACTTCCTAGATAAATTTACTTCTATGTATATTAATGATGTGTTAATCTTTATAGATAGATTACTAGTAGAGCACTAGTAACATGTCTGCTAGGTACTAGAATACCTAAAGGATGCAGGGTTGCAGCTAGACATTAATAAGTATGAATTTAAGGTGAAAAGTATAAAGTATCTTAGGTTCATAATAGAGGCTGGTAAGGGCATATGGATGGACCCTAATAAGGTAAGGGCCATACTAGAATAGCAGGCCCCTACCTCTATATATAGTATCTAATCATTCCTGGGCTTCGCGAACTTCTATTACTAGTTTATATAGAACTTCTTAGATATAGTATAACTATTAATAGTGCTAACACATAAGGGAGCCCCCTTTATATAGGGAGATAAGCAGACTAAGGCCTTTAAGTTACTAAAGAAGATGTTCACTACAGCCCTAATTCTCATGCAGTTTGACCCTGATAAGGAGATGGTAGTAGAAACAGATGTATTAAACTGGGTGACAGGAGCTACTATATTATAGTATAATAATGATGGCATACTAAAGCTAGTTATATATATCTCTAAGAAGAATACACCAGCGGAGTATAATTATAAGATATATAATAAGGAGCTATTAGCTATTATTAATACTCTTAAGGAATGGGAATTAGAGCTAATTAGCCTGCTATAATTTAAGCTTATCATGGATTATTATAACCTTAAATACTTTAAGACAGTCTGCAGGCTTAATAAACAGCAGATATGTTAGTTACACTAGCTAAGCTGATTTAACTACAAGATGCACTATTAGCCTGGGAAATTAGCTATTTAGCCTAACACCCTGTCATGAAGGGATCAGGATATGCTGCAAGACATAGAAGATGACAGACTTAAGGCATGCAATTGCTGCTTGGTGCCACTATAGACTATCACTAGTTAGATGTGTGTATGGGCATCCTGCACCTATGAAGTGGTGTCTAACCTGGACATAAGATCACTAAATAATTATACTAATTAATGTAATAATCAATAGTATTATATAATCTTATATACCACCCCTGCTAATAAACCACTGCCACTATTAGAAGAATACTAGGAGGAGGCCCAACTACAGGACACTGATCTAAATGAAATGTGTTAAGTATTAGAGGAAGGAGCCATGCATTTCCCTAGTAAACTATATATATAGGTGTTAATTGCCAAATGTTTAACATTACTAGATGGCCACCTATTATATTAAAGTCACAAATGGGTTCCTAATTCAGAATTATTATAAATAAGGATACTATAAGAGACATATAACTTAGTACTTACTAGCCACCCTAGGAAGAACATGCTGTACATAATAGTTGCCTAAAACTTCTACTAGCCAGAGCTTTCTACAGACATCTGATGATTCATATAGAACTATAATAAGTGTGGTGCTAATAGAGTTGCATAACCGAACCGCAAAAATCGAACCCAAACCTCACCGAACTCGCAGCAGTTTGGGTTCAGTTCCTAGCCTAGGGAATCGCACCGGTTTCGGTTTCCATAGGGTGGAACTGCTTTGAGTTCGGTTAAAACCGCCGGTTACAGTTTTTGCGGTTTTGCGAGTTAGGTTAACCAACCCACAACCATTTTACCTAGAAATTACTGAATTTAGATATTTTTAATTAATATTAATATCACTAGATAGCCTGAATCAAAGGCTATCTAGTGATATAAATATTACTCAAAAATACCTGGTGGTTGCTGAGATATAAGGGAATTTCATCTCTGTCATAGGTTGGTATGAAAGTAGTGGTAGTTTATATATATATACAACTGACTGTTGACAATAACCATATTTAAAAATGATTTTTTAACCACCACCCATTCAAACCTATAGATATTGAATTCATATTTTAGATCTAGATTAATATGATGATAATTACCATATATTTCATATAAAAATCATAATTTTATATAAGCATGCTCAATAGGGGCGTCAGAGGGGTCCCCGAAGGGGGAATGGTAAGGGTTAAAACAGTTAAAATTAGCAGTTTAACCAACCCAAAACCAAACCAAATCTAACCATGGTTAGTTAGTATAGGCCTAGCTAGGCCTAGCTAGGCCTAGCAGCGGGTTTTGCGGTGAAAACCGCAACCGAATCGCATCAGGTCCGGGTTTGGTGCGAGTTCTAAATTTTGAACCCGAAACCGCAGCGGTTTGGTGCCAACTAGGATTGAACCCGCCCGAACCCGCACCAAATGCAACTCTAGGTGCTAATTATATATGGTGTGAGTAATACTAGGGCCTACTGAAGCTACTGCTAATCCTAGATTATAAATAGTGTGAGATTGCCATTAACTTCATTATAAAGCTGCCCACATCCAATGGTTACAAGGACATAATGGTGATTGGTGATAGGCTTAGTAAAGGTGTAATCCTGGTGCCCTGTGAATGAATAGATTTAGAGACAGTAGCATAGTTATTAATTAATTAATTTATTAGTTGCTAGACTGGCTGACCCAATCCGCAAATCCATATCCAACCCACCCAATCCGCACTTTGGGTTGGATGGGGGTCGACCCTGATCCAACCCACATAGATATGGGTGGATGGCATCCAACCCATATGGATATGGATAACCCATTAGGTGCATGTGACCGGCAGAATAATAGATACAGTAAAACATGGATATAAGCAATTAATTCAGCAGGCCATCTCGATTGCTTATATTGAGGGATTGCTTATAGTAAGAATTATATATTTTTGCTACCTAAAAAACGTTCGGATATCAGTCTGCTGCTGCTTCTGCATCTTTCTCTGCAAAAGAACCCTCTCATGCCTCATAAGATGCTGGATAAGATGCTGATCAGCATCTACCTGCTGCTCCTCAAAAAGACGAAGTTTATATAGACATTCCAAGGCATCTGTAGGTGAAATCTGCGGAAGAGGCTCCTAAGCATCATCATCATCATCATCATCATTAAATTCGCAGTTCTCTGGTGCATATTGACTAATGATAATATCATCAAGATCCATGATATTATCATTAACCTGCTCATCTGCAGGATTTAAGAACTGGCTTATACTCATTGCTTCCTGGATATTATTGGAAAGCTGAAGCTTTTGAAGGCCTTGCTGAATATCATCCATAACCTCCTTTTCATGAATCTCTGTACTATCTTTAATAGTAAGAGCCTTCTTAAAGCATCGCTGGATAGTATCATCCTTTAGGTCAAGATTCCATGCTGAAATAGCCCACCGGAGGGCTTGTAGGATTGTCATTGTTGAGATTGGATTAAAGCTGTGATCAAATTCAGCCATCATATAGAGAATCTATTGCTGTTTCTAGTATGCTTTCCATGTATGGATAATCCCTTGATTAAGAGGTTGATATTGAGAAGTTGAATTAGCAGGAAGCCAGATGATAAGGGTATTCTGTAGCTGGATATCTTTATATGCAGCTTCGTGCGCAGAGAAATTATCTATTAGAAGAGCAACTTTCTGTCCCTTTATCTTAGAATTAAACCAGATGAGCCATTCCTTAAAGATATCTCCAGTCATCCAGGCCTTTCTATTACTGCGCTATTTACATCCTAGATTCTCTGGATTAATACTAGCAGCAGTAAAAGCCCTTGGCCTCTTTGCAGTCCTAATAAACCATATTGGTAAGTGCTCTGAAGCATCAGAGTTGCAGTAAAAGAGAATACTAATTCTAGCCTTCTCCTTCTTGCGGCTAGGTATTAACTGTGTTAATAGACTGCTATCTGGAATCTTCTTCTAATAGAGACCAGTCTTATCACAATTAAAAATATCTTGAGGAGCATATGCACTTAGAGCTTGATAGATTCTAAGCATCTCCTTTGCTGCATCTTGAGATAGACTGCCAGCTTCACCATACTGAGTATGCCTTCGGATATTCCGGCGAGACTGGAAGCTGTAGAGCTAGCCATTACTGAACTGTGGCATCTCCTTCTCTGGATATAGTGAAGGCTAAAATTGCCTTGCCTTCTCCTGAATAACCTCTTGTGAGATTGTTATCTGACTCTCAGCCCTCCTTATCCATTTAAAAAGTGCATTTTCAAGCTCCGGCCAGGTCTCCGTACGGCGTCGTTTATCAGGGAGAAGGTGAGGTTCTAAGGTATTAAGGAAGGCAAATCGTGGCGATAGAATGCGGGAGACTGAGGAAGGGTTGATTAGCTGCTTATATTGCTCTTCAAACCACTTCTGAAGCTGTAGATTGGAGAGATAAGGCTTTAGATGATGGTATGCTCGTAGGGCAGCCTTCTGGCTATTGGTAATTGGATGGCGTGTCTGTTTTGGCATTCTGGGTAGAAGCTTTGCTGGTTCAGATCACCTGCAAGAAGACTCGAATATTAGCAATTTTGTATGGCAAAAGGGGGGAAGCTAAGCAATTTCCTAGTATCCAGGGAATAAGCAATTTTATATGGTGATTCAATTTTGGACACGTGTTTGGTTGCTTATATCAAGGAAATTGCTAAAAGTCGGGTTGCTTATATCCATGTTTTACTGTATTCATGATATTCTCTCAAAGAGAGATCTTTCTACCTACTAAAAGTAGTATAGTCTAGATTCTTAGGTCTTTCCGCCTACCAAAAGTAGTATAGTCTAAAATCACGTGTATGATATGGGTAGAATGGTTATCCGCAACCCAACCCGCATGGATATGAGGGTGGGTTAGATAGGTGGTGGATCAACCCAAAACCCATGTGGGTTGGATTGAACCCCCTGCGGATCCATCCAAACCCAACCCACGACCAGTCTAATAATTATCCTTGAAGATGGTGCTCTAGCTCACTGTTATTGATTCCAGCAGACTATATATAATATCAAGAGGGTCTAGAAGATTATAGATTGGCCAGGGAACTCCCCTGATCTTAATACTATTAAACTAGCCTGGCCATAGCTTAAATGGCGTATAACTTCTTAAGAGGCACCCTGGGATAAGAAGATAGCGAAGGAGGTATGGATAAAGGCATGGAATGATCTTCCGCAGGAGCATATTTAGCAGTGGATTTAGTGTCTTATACGCCATATCCAGGTCATCATTAATCTAAATGGAGGTAATGAATATCAGGAGGGCTGAAGAGGCAAGGATAATTGTGATTGGGAGGGCCATTGAGCAAAGGGTACTATCTCTTATAGGCAAGATATTAGTGAATTAGACTGGGAAGATATTTTGCAGCCGTTTGAATAGCTTCAATATTTGATTCTTAGGAGTTGAAATCAATCAAAGTAAACTACCATATAAATTACTATGTAATGTTGCTTCGTCTTGTTACCTTGCCAAGCTTACTAGCGGCTAATGAGTTCTGCACCACACCTCCGTACATCAAGATGATATCTGGAACTTTGATGAGAATGGCTTCCCAATGGAACTCTGTATTACCTCAGAGATTATTACTGCGGTGTAGCGCAGTGAAAGATCTCGCTGAGTTATTCAAGGGAACCGCGAATGGGCCACAATCATTTAGTGTGTGAGCTCAAAAGGGATTCCTATACCACCAGTAATTATCTTTAAGCTACATGGTGTCAAGGGCTTAATCTTCCCCTGGATCGGAAGCTTACGAATAGCACCAATGGATGGACAACAGATGAGATAGGTCTTAAGTGGTAAAGCATATCTTTAACCCTTTTCCTGCATTCAACTGGTACAAAGCGGCTACGTATTCTTGATGGCCATTCGAGTCACCACACTGCGGAGTTCGATGGTTTCTGCAGGGACAATGCAATTATCTGTCTTTGTATGCCTCCGTATACATCTCGTGTTCTTCAACTCCTAGATGTTGGGGTATGTTGGGGTCTTTGGGCCACTAAAACACGCGTACGGAAAACTGTTTGAGGGGATGATGGTGGCCGGGAACAACCACATTGAAAAAGAGGATTTTCCACACCTATATCCCCTGAACGCGAAGCAGTCTTCACCCGAAGGAATATATGTAATGGCTTTATAGAGCAGATCTTAAACCGAAAAATTCGCGGTTCTGTGGTTGATTATGTTAAGGCACCGGAGACGGTGTCACGTTCCAACATTAACCTCGCGAGTGCTAAACTTGAGGAAGTTAGCAACAATCCACATTGATAAGGCACACCTAAGGGTGTCGTGAGTTATTGTTCCTTTACACTAGCTCATATTGATCCTCGCGGATCACAATCCTTATACAAACCAAGTGAGTCGTAATAGTGGAGCTACTGCATAGCCTCTGTAGGAATACTGCACAGCTTTGGAGAACTCCAGGCTATACATTAACTGGCGCACGCTAGGTCACATGTAAAGCAGCTACATGTCCCAACCGGCAATTCAGAAGCTCAGTAACTGACAATAATCCCGCTAGTTTCTTCTCCAATCACAACCCACAAACTGGCCATCACTCTTACGATGAAACATAACAGCGCAAAGTCTGCTGGTCATTCAGTCACAATAGCCTATAGTTCTCAGCCAAAAAACATACCGAACGTTTTGATTGTTAGAAGGGTAGTTAACTGCTACTCGTTGAGATGCTGGCGTCCCTCCGGGGTATACTATGGTACGCACGAGCGGGAATTCTTCCAGCTGTGCATTGTTGCAATTGGGAGCCAGAGGAATGTTTTCCCTGTTGTTGAAGCGCTTGGGATAGTTTCTACCATCTCCCGGAGGATAGGGCCCTATATAACCACGTTAATCAAGTACATAAAAGGTGGCTGACACAGTAGGCTTTCCCTCTTACCGACCGTGGTCCCAGCATTATGGTGCAGGAGTGCAGCGTTTGCCGCCCTTTCAATATCAGCTCTCGTGAACTGCACTTCGTCTGTTAAGGCAGTCATCAATTACCATCAGAATTGCAAGCTGCACGACCATAAATACAACTTACTGCATGTCACATGATCTCTTATTAGATTGGCATTTTCCACAGCTCCAAAGCTTGCCCCAGGAAGTAAAGAAATAAATAGCAAGATAGGTAATTTCATGGTAAGCAAATGAGGGTTGCTTTGCTACCAGAGGGAAATAGAATTAGTGGCAGTGGCGATGAAATTCTTCCCAGTATAGCTCTCGAACTATGGTCTCACCTTTCGGGGGAGGGAAGAAGCTCGGGAGGGAAACTATATATATTTCGAAACTATGCGTTAATTTAGGCTTCCGAGGAGTGCCGAGCTCTTAGCAAAAGGGTGATATTTCGCGAAACTAGAGCAATTTGGTAGAAGTAACATGTGACGAGTTGCTTTCAGCTTCCACAACTGTTAAGTCTATGCGCGCACTCGCCGTTTTGGGCCGGTACACCAGTCACACGGATGCAGTGGTAGAAACTAAAAGGAACCAGTTTCGGTAGCTGAAAAGGGCAGTCGACCTACTGATATGCATTTTACTGGGTGTTGGACTCCATCGCAATTGTTTCCGGACAGACATCCAAGGGCCCCAGGAGTGGGACCTAGGACCAGCAAGTTTGATTTGATGTGCAGTATCCTCGCGGCGAGAGACTTACGTTGGGAAAAGTCTAAGTGGGATACTGGCTGCCCATCTGTAAGCGACGGCAGGATGATTTAAATGTACACCAAAAACGGAAAGTGTAAGCTGGCCTAGGTCTGAACAAGTCTGAGATACCTGTATTTAGTGTAATTTCCTTGAGTTTGTCTGGCAGGTTTACGTCACTAGCGGGCAGATGCAACAGTTCTGTTGTTGCTTAGATTTCGGCCTGATCCACAAGCACAAGTACCAGAAAGCGCTGCACCTGCATCCATGCTGATGATTTCACTGATATCCAAACATGCATGCATCTCCTCTCTGCTGCGTGAATACGGACTTGCTTTCGGGATATGTATTGATAGAGCACAATTGTATTCCATTCAGAAGGCTTCACGAGAGCTGAAAGGGACGGTATTATATTCCCACGCAATGGTTAGTGCCGCAGACATCGCAACGTTCAATCTCATTCCCAAACATAGAAGAATATTGTCTATGCCAACCATATCTTCCCGCTGTGGGCGATTCGACTTCCCTAATAATCATAAATGCAGCTCTATACTGTATAACGAAGTGGTGAAGTCTATGACAGAAACGGGAGCTCTTCGCTGGCCTTCGAGGAATCTGGATTTCCTCCCAGCGAAGATAAAAGCAAGTAGTTTCTCCATAGAGCCGCAGATTGTAAAGGCAGACGAATTTCAAACAAAGCAATATATTTAAGCAACTATCTCTACGAATGCGCTTACTATACTCGATCTACGGGTTCTTCTTACTGTAGAGCCCTGTTCAAAATGTCAGTAACGCGTGTTATTTACGCCCTCAGTGCAATTGCGTGGCTTCTTGGTGTATATTTTACCGCTGCTTCTCCGATACAGCTCTTTAATCTCGGCTCTTCTTTGATCATGACACCCCAGGACTGCTCAAGGAAACATGTTTAGCGGTCAAACCCAAGGGCGCAGTCCTTCAGTGACGCCTTGACTCTTGGAACTTCGCAGCAAGTTATTCAAAATGGCAATCATTTCAACAACTCCAAGGAGCAGGTCTTTCAGCCTTCTTTCAAGAGGAGGCCAATTTATGCCATTGCGCATAGGGTCTTAACAACAGTTAATGGAATGGAAGCTGCTGTGAAACATGGTGCAAATGCTCTTGAGATTGATATGTGGGCCTGGGATTCCTGGGGATACAAGGGACGGTATTGTGACCATGCGGAATACTGACTAGCCCTGGAGCGAAAGCAGAAGACATGTTCAGAGCAATCCAACGACAACGGCACGCAGGCAATACAATAAACTTTATCTGGCTGGATCTGAAAAAGCCTGATGAGTTCGCAACCGGCAAAAACGCAAACAAAGGACTCCGTGACTTGGCTCATCAATACCTCAAAAACTATAACGTCCGCATAATGTACGGATTTATGAGAAAGGACGTGGATGGCCGCTCTTTTCAAGTAGTGAGCAAGTCTCTTATAACCAGCGAAGCGATCAGCGTGAACAATGTGGCAGAGAAGGTTTATAGGACATTTGAAAAAGTTGGTCAAAACATCCCTGTATCCAAAAGGGTGATAGATTACGGTTACTTTGGACTTGGTTTCCAATTTGGTATTTGCTACGAAGACGGGTATTACACCTGCGCTGAGCTAAGGAAAGGGGCAAGATGCGAGAAGAGGGAAAGTTCGGGAGAGTATTTGGCTGGACTCTTCAAAAACCAAGCCAATATCGCAGATAAGTTGCTGAGCATTGCGCAAGTCGATGGACTTATTTACGGCCGGATATTCTCATACAAGGATAGTCAAGCTGTCCGAGCTCCCCTTAACGACATAAAATCCTGGATTGCGACCAACAACGAAGCCCATTTGCCACTCAGAAAGATGATCCTTGGTAAATCTGGATCTGCTCAATACCAAGCAAGGAATGCGTTATGTTCTCGCCACTAGATATCTGTGGGAGAAAGATGCAAGTATCGGCAGTGACCCCGGGATTTTACTGCATGTCTTGTCAATGTACTTACCATCAATTAGAACAACAACTGTTCCAAAGTTCAATTGTCCCGCCGCAGTGGATTGTAATTATCATATACACCTATACTAGATGACTCAACCTTATTTACCCGCATGTTAGTCCGTTGTATCCTTTTTCCCCGTCGGTGCGCGCCCTGAAAGACGGCGGGAACCCCTCCCTGTTTGATTTCAGGATTATTTCCTGGTTGATTCCTCCCTTTCTATCACGCCCTCATTCTAGGATTCTGCCAAGCAGAGAATACCCTTGCATAATGGAGCCCCCGTCCTCCTCTCTTTTACTATCATTGAGGTACGGATCCGTATTATGTGTGGCCGCCATACTCGCCCGAAACTTATGCAATGGATCTCAATTGGCAATTATGGAGCAAGAGATATACCAACTATACCCAGAACTAGAGCATACAGAAGACCCAGACGCAACCCGGCAACTCGTCACCCAGGCAGTTAAAGAGGCATGACAAGCACTTGAAATAGGGTGCTTAAAGAGGTGATTTGGACTCCATGCCTCACCGCGTTGTGTTGGAGTCATCAAAAGCGGCAGCATAGACACTCTTCTCTGCTAATAGGCATAATATTGGCTGGCAGTCGCTGCGCTGTCAAGGTGACAGGCGGAAGTCTCGTAACTATTAGAAGCGAGGGCTGGTAACACCCTGAGGCTTGATGCGGATACATCGATCCACATTTGCTAAAAATTCTCAGAGCATCATTGTTGGCACGGGCGAAGAATGCTACGGAGAGACGGCGCGGCCCGTGAATGATGTCCTAGGCATGACGGTCAATTACATGTGGAGTCGTACGGGAATATTCTAGGCTTTCCGCCATTTTCGTTTTGTAACTATAGGAACCTAGATAATTCCAGGAGACGTGGAACAGGAGCATAAGGAAGACGCAGCAAGGGCTTATGGCTGTTGACGCACTGAACTTGGCTTGAAAGCCTAACAGGGAATCCTCGACGCCGAGTGCTCCCGAACCAGACGCAGATAGCAATTGTCTCTGCACCGGGAAATGGTGGGGTGAGCATGACAGCAGCACACGACTTTCAGGCATGACGACTCCAGGCAGCTAATGTTCTAAATGGTTGCTCAGCAACACGTTTATATGTTCTTTAAGCCTTCATGAAAAGTAGCTGCTCCTGTGGAGTTATTACAAGATCAATTACAAAGCCAAGGATCCAGCAAGCTACGACAGGTTTAGGCTCTTTACCTTCGCGCAAGATTAGATGGAAAATTCAGTATACGTAGTTAAAGGTACATAGCATCCCATCGAAGCCGATCTTTACTTCCTGGAGATTTCAACGTCCACATTTCCCAACGCACCGCCGTAAGAATTCCAAGATCCAACTTCCACTCGGTACGCCTTGACCTTCTCCTGAACCTCGAATTTGTTGACCTTGCTACCCCATGGGCAATCCCAATAGAGCTTACAGATGCGTTGGCTTCCATCCCAAAGCTCAAGTGTTCCTTCGGTACCCGAAGCCGCATCTGAGCGGCCACAAGTCTCAAAAGAATGTGTAGTTTGAGGTGGTATCTTCTTGCCATTGACTTGGCTTGGTGGAATCTCCTTGTCTTTGTTGCCGTCCTTATAGATCTTGCCCCTGCGGGCAGATTAGCCAGACGGTGAGGGTAGCTGCCTAGGTTTCTTTTCTTACCAATACATTGTCACATTTCTGATTTCGATTGCGTTATCGTCTGATTTGAAATCATTGCCGATTTTGAGCGCTGCCCACTGAGCATAAGCTCTAGGCGCCGCTACACTGTTGACAGACATTGCAAAACAAGTACAAGAGAGAGAAAGAGCTGGCTAAACAAAAACGTTCCCTTTGATATTAATAGTGCGAATATCCCTTGACATATGATAGCTTTTGTCACGGCAAGGTTCGCTGTGAATATTCTTCTCAAGTATTTATGCAGTCCAGTCACTGTTCGAATCGTAGTTACATCATTCAAGTTCGACCTTTACAAGCACACTGTGGCTAATGATGACATCAAGGATTACTTCCAGATTCTGTCAATATGCTAGAGAACACCTGTTCATGGCTCCACTAGCTATAGGTGTAGGTTACACAAACATTAAAACGGAACCAGCATTTGTGAACAGAATACGAAGTGTTCTTCAGCTATTGCTAGATGCGGACGTTGGAGGGCTGGAAATGCGTCATCTGGGCTATGTGGCTACGTATAGTTAGGACCAGGTACTCTAGAGACTCGCAGCATTCAACAAATTGGAAGCTGCATTCGGACGCCGTCGGACCTGAGCAACTGCCAACAAATACGTATGGGAGGTCCCACTACAACGCAGTTGCATCACAATGTCCGATGGATGTCTAAATGGATGACGAGGCAAGGACTATTTGACATTAGTTGCCACTATCTCTCCTCTATGCTCCTCACAGCACACCTGCTGGTGTGCTGCAAACGGGAAGACTCCTTCAAGCTGCGTGAAATAAGTGTGACATGCTACATTTACCATTCCATACCCATCGTAAGAATGACATGTGGAACTGTTCCGTTTCTGGCAGTTGAGCAGTGTAATCCTGAACATATTCTGCTCCTAAAATGGGCCGCCAGCATATGCGGGAGACCTCCGTTGAGATTATCAGAAAGGATATGAAAACGGCAGGAGTAAAATTATCCGCTGCCTTCCGATCAAAAACACATCATTGAATGCTCAATCATTGCGTAACACACCCCCTTATAGTAGTCGAGCAAGCACTTCTATACTTCAGTGTAGGGGGCTACTTACCCGTGGTTAACGCACTGGTAGGTTCGAGAAGTCTAGGACATCAGCATGATGCATGTATTCACTAAGTCCATGGCAAGACACAGCATATAAATTTATATGCTTGGCCTTCGCTTTGATCCACTGGCTTTCCCAACGGCAGTTAGCAGCGCTCTGTTTTCATAACCGCTTGTGTCAGACTTTCATTAAAGACTAAATATTCCTTCTTGACTATAATCGAGCCCTTTACTTTGACCGCCGCAATGCCTGAGTTTGTACCTTACCAGCCTGGTATGCTCTTGGGCCAGGGGTACGTATTCATCCTCTCATAGCGAGCATACAGACGTTTGGACTTCGTTAACCGAACCAACAAGATACAATTCCTACCTCCAACAACTCCGCCTGCAAGAAGCAGCAATCATAACCGAAAATAAAAGTGCAAAGGAGCCGCCTAATGAAGTCTCCTCCAATACAGATGTAGACGAGGGAGAGGAAAGTGACAATAAAGAGGATGCATCCGGGAGTATCCGCGCGCAGAAAGTTGTCTATGAGTACAGTTTCGTCAAGGACTATCAGTAAGCACGGCGAATGAGAGATCACACTTTTCTATCCAATTTATCGGTATGTATTAATGTGCTACAGTGCGCTGAGGGAGACTCTCAATCTGAGCTCTGGAGCCGCTGTTTCTGGTTGGGGTCAAAGCGGCAAAGTGAACGTTGAGTACTTGGATCGAAGCGAGGTAGGGGCAAGAACGAGCTAGTTCTATGGAAGATCTTAGACGCTTACGAATATTCGTGCAACAGTTCGAAGGCAGCACCTTGACGTATCAAGTATCTGTGTTTTCGGAAAACCAGCCGAGCGTCTCTTACCATTATTCGTTCAACCAAGCGCAATGGGACGAGTGGAAGCAGAGCGGCTCCCCAGATAAGCCACAATTGATATATGGTGATCGTTACATTTCTGGTAATATGAGCCCTCCCCGGCTATTCCTCGAATAGATTCTCTTCAAGGATGGGTCTGAAATGACAATACTGGAACAGATTTTATCACCGGGGGGCATTTTTTTGCCCGCTTTTCCATCAAAGCCCGTAATGAGTCACGCAAAAACGAAATCGAAGAATGGTACGTATCTGACTGGAAAAGCTTCATGGCCCGAGTTCTAATTGCGAACTCCTTTCGCAGGGCAAAGACAGCCTTCCAGATGTATGGGGCAGATATAGGCGTCGACGAGGAAATGAGAAAAGCAGTTGAGAATATCGAAAAGCATGCGGAAGTGAAGTGTTCCATCCACCAGGAAGGAGGCACCCGGTTTCGCAGGAAGGGCTCGGTTACGGATGATGGAAGCGAGTCCTCCGACTTCCTTTATATCAAGAAGCAGGCGGATAAGTTCTACGAGGAGGCGAAGCAGGGACAACACAAATACCGCCGATTGCAAGTGTCATCGTAACTCTACCTCTCTTCACTTACTAACATCCTGGAATAGCGCTCTGTTGCAGCAATACGTTAATTTACCTAACTTCAGAGAAGGCCAGCATTTCAAGCCCCACGATTACCGGCAAGCCAATGAGAAGGTAGGTTAACCTCTTGTATATTTAGGATATACCCAGTATCACTGACCACATGGTCTCAAATGGGACTGGAAACAGAGCCGACAGCTCTTTGAAGATTTCAGTCTTTACCAATCATATGGCGCTCTGATCAGTAACAGTAAGAAATCCCCCGCTGTATACCCTGTATAGAGCAAAGCTAAGCCATAACAAATATTCAGTCGGCAAGGAGCAGTTCGCTGGGGGCGGAGCGGAGAGAGACAGCTTGGAGAGTAGAAGAACAGATGAGATTCACCAAATTCGTGTCAAGGTAGGAGTTTTCCACAGTACCCGCCACATCTCCGTTCGCAGATCATCCTAACACCAAAGCAGGTGGAAGATATCTCGGCCGACCCTCAGAGGGCCTTGGGTATCGGGTTTAATTACCTGAGGGCGGAAGAGTTTTACATTATGGTCATTGTACGCCAACCAGAACTAATTGAGACGTTCTCAGTCGCTGACATTTCTGCCCACCCGAAGGAGGCCATCAAGAAAGTGACCTATATTGCCCAAAGGCGCAAGATAGAGGTCCGTGACAGCACCAGTGACAGTAAGAACAAGACCTTTGCTCCATCATGTGGGGTTTCTCTTGCTGATTATTCGCCTGTGCAGTTGCGCTTCCTGATCTTTTGTCAGGGGCTGAGAAGCTCTTCGAATTCAAAGCCTACAATTTTCCAGATATCATTGGTACCAAGGTTGTGTCATTTGGAAGAAGCATTACTGACCCAGACTCCTTCGTTTGCACATTCGGTCAGCGCGTGAATAAGTTCGATGGCTGGAAAGAAGAAAGCTGTCTCTGGGCCTTTCCCAAGCAACTGAAGTCAATCGCCAATCGTGCTGTACACGTTTCGAAGTCCAACATCAAGAATCATATTCGGCTGGAACTACAGGATAAAAAGTCGAAGCGTTTGTTTGATTTCTACGTTAACGTTTGATGTTGTGCAGATCTTTGGTGCCTTTTACGGGTCCTTCCTTTGTTAGGGTCGAGAGTTATTGAATGAGAGATTAATGGATAGCCAATAAATTGTCTCGCTTTCTACACGGGCGACATAAATCTAAGCGTTCAAACAAAATATACTCACCCGAGGTTTTCCGGAGACTAGGTCAGGAATCAAACCATTACTAGGTAAACTTGTCCCAGGACGAGGTAGCTAATGCACTAATTGTTGGATGGGCCATATTCATGCAGCTATGGTTGTGTTTAGCAAGTGAGCATATTTACTACATCTCAGGGCAACCTTTTGCCTCCGGTCGTTGTAGTTCAATGTACTATGAGTAATCAAGCTCTACTAAAGGGCCGATATTAAGGTTTCAGAATATCATCCTCAAAATGGTCTTTTGACAAATCAGCACAATTGAGCACAGTTGAGCAGGCGGGGACACGCCTTAAGTGACCACAGATTAACACATGAATGCTCCAGGTGAATAAGCCCAATGTCATGTGCTGAACCACCGGCGTACCCCCACTGGGGGCCCGCCCCTAGTAACAGTGTCATGCGCGGACTCCACAGTTCCCATACTAAATATGGGCGACCACAGTGCCTCCGCAGCGCAGACTCCACAACCATTATCCATCTACTCTGGACTCCACAGTCCTGACTATCCTGACTATCCTACCTTAGTAGACTCCACGGTTCCCTCCTATATTTTTATTTATTATTCTTTTTCTTTTTCTCTTTTTTCCCTTTTATTTTACCCTACCCTATCCTCTACTCACATACACTCTATCCCACAGGGGGCGGAGGACCCTACTAGTGGTGTTGTGCGCGGACTCCACGGTTCCCATACTAAATAGGGCCGACCGCAGGGCCTGGTGACCGCAGTTTCCACATCCATTCCCCATCCAGTCCGGACTCCATGGTGGGACTCCATAGTCACTCCTAGACTCCACAGGAATCGCCCATCTCTCCATCAAATCTTCATCTTTTTCGATGATTAAAAATCATTTAATAATGCGAATCCGCTGCATTATAACATTCCAGTATTAGATTCAAGGATATTCGCTGGGAAGGTGGTTAAACCAGGGGGGGAAGGCTGTATGGTCAACATGTTAAGATTTTTTATTAGGGTCTGCCAAGATGACTCTCTGCAAGAAGTATAGACCCTCAGGCCCTATACTAAAGTTAGTAGGGTGGAGCAGAAGGTCAGGTCTATATAGAGTGCAGAGTGCAGCTTAATTAGTTATAATTTACATCCACTCTAGAGTCTATATCTACTCCAGAGTTGAAGTTCCCTTAAGCAGGAGTCTTATTAGTTATAAGTATTATCCTCACCCTGAGAGCATCTTTGCCAGTCACACAACCCCACTATGATTGATTAGTTATAAATTAATTAATCCATCCTACACATTAGGATGATGGATGGATCAATTGATTAACCATCCTCATCTATATAGTGGGAAGTAGGATTAAAAGTTTCTAAGAAGTACACAGTGAGGTTCACTCTCTAGACTAAGGATTAATCTCCATAACTTTCCTCCTGCCCTCACCCTACCATCTTATAGTTGGGTGACCTAGGTCTTGCCCCCTAATCCCCTAGAAATGTATACATTTTGTTAAGTGTTTACCCCCAACAATTCCCACCCTTCAGGGTGGCTTGAGATCCTAATAAATTACCCTAATCACTACTATCACTACTATCACTATTACCACCATTACAGAGGATGAAGACTACCCCTTCTCAGGAGAGCCTTTGATCGACAACAGTGCTGGATAATGTATGAAGCAGGGTGGGAAGGTCTTTCTTATAGGGTAACCTTATAAAACTCCACTACCCATATGCGTGTGGAAATATATTTTAGAAGACTACTACTATTAGGGATTCCCATTCTTCCTCCACCCACACTAATAATTCATGGCCTGGTGCAAATAACACCCTGCAGCTAACCCATAGGATTAATCATTAATCTGCACTGGAATAAATAACAATTAGACTAGGGCATCCATGCTATGTAACAAAACCCACCACCCACCCTTGCAAATAACAATCATTCTGATGCCCAATGCTAGTTAATTATTAAAAGCCCAGAGCACTAATAGCACCAAGGAGAGAGGATAAAAGGAAGACCAGTACTCTCTGCAAAGCCTTCTCTAAATCCAGCTGTGAAAAGATCAACCCCCACAGTGACACAGGTAAGCCATAAGGGAACAATAAGGCGGCAGCCAAAAGTTATGTAGCTGCATGCTCAAATTTCAGAAGAAGGGTAGGGATGGCGGCGAACACTTGAGCAATGATACTGCAGATATGGTTGCTAAATGAATGGCGAACCATGGCAGTTGCTGATCAAGAAGGCAGCGGAAATGAAAGCCATGTAAAGGCCGCCCAGAGATGATTCAGTGATTTTGGCCCTGGCTAAAAGTGGATGCTAGGGTATGTGCATGCTCGAACTTTGGAAGATGGATAGGGATAGCAGCAAACACAGAGCATGATACTGCATATGCAGTTGCTAAATGAATAGTGAACCATGGCAGTGGCTGATCAAGATAGCAGCAGAAATGAAAGCCATGCAAAGGCTGCCCAGAGATGATTCAGTGATTTCAGCCCTGGCTAAAAGTGGATGCTGGGATATGTGCATGCTCAAACTTTGGAAGATAGATAGGGATGGCGGTGAACACTTGAGCAATGATACTGCAGATGCGGTTGCTAAATGAATGGCAAACCATGGCAGTTACTGATTGAGAAGGCAGCAGAAATAAAAGCTGTGCAAAGGCTGCCAGAGACAATCCAGTGATTTCAGCCCTGGCCAAAAGTAGAAGATGCATACTAAGATCAGACCTTATACTATACAGCCTTTTACTGGTGTTGCTGAGGCCGCCCCATTGCTGCTGTTACCTCTGAAAAATTATTAGTGCCTGTGAGGAACAGTAGCGTGCAGGGGAGTAAGAGAGAAGACTTACCAACTAGCTACTGTTATTTGTATTTCTAGGTTATAGGCTGCGCAGAGGGTGCCTAAGGTAGGAGGAAGGGTGACTAGTAGTCAGGGGGCAATCCACATGGGGTATTAGACTTTAGAGACTATAGCACTATAGGTGGTGTAGAGCTAAGCAGAGAGCTCTCTCCTAAGACCTTAATTACTCCTGCAGCACTCGCTCTAATCACTCCCTGCTGGCTAGGGGGTGGTGTAGTCAGATCACTGCCCCTAACAACTCTCTGCAGCCTCGCCAGCTGCTACGCATGAGTCTGAAGCCTAAGGTTAGCTTGATATCCATATTAAGGGGAAGTGTAAGGAATGAATGTAGGGGGCATACTAGCTCTAACTACTGTAGCTTATCATTATTAACCTTTTTATCATCATCATTGTCCTGAGAGCTAGGGCCCTAACTACTACTGCTGTGGTCATCCCCATTGCTGTTATTATCATTGTTGTGGGGAGAGCCGGGGCGACGACCCCTATTACCAGGGCTAGGGCTATCTCTGCTACTATCTACATCTGAACCTGAGTAGCTAGCTTTAGACTCACTGCAGCTGCTCTCCTCAGTAGGGGACCCTTTCTTAGAGTCTAAGACCATGTACTTAGTGGATTTATACTATATTACTAGTTAGTTTCAGTTACACAGACGAACTCACAATCCCAGGCTTTTCAGCCAGAGCCAAACCACTGGCTGAATATTGGCTCTGGTTAAAAGGCGGAGGGGCAAGTATTAGATAGGTGGTACTTTACCTTACTGGCTGTAGCCTTGGTGCGCTTTCATCACGCGCAGGCCTTAGTTAGTGAATCCTGCCTGACTCTCTCTCTCTTGTGGCCCCTAGGCGTCATGTGGGCTTTCATCTAGTCTAGATCTTGCTGTGGTAGGCTAAGGTCATCCAGGTGCTTGACATTCAGCTGACTGGCTGGCTGCCTGAGCATACAGCGGAGACAATCCACTGCAGCCCACTGGATGACCTTGGCCTTGGCCTGGTTGGCGGCTTACTCATCTTCACTATCATCCTTCACCCATGCTGCCATGACCATAGGCTTCAGTAGATCATGTAGTTACACTAAGAATTATAGGAGGGCCTTAAGCATGTTATTACACTCCAACCATCTAGATATGGTATACTCTTAGAAGATAGACCACACCTTCTAGCTACTTTACTGCCTAAGGCAGTGGATGCGTCCCACCGCCTAAAAAAGCATATTAAGATTCAAGGGCGGCTTAAGGAGGATCATGCAGCTACACTCTATGTAGAGGTTAAGGCTATAGGCCCTACATTAGTAGAATGTAAGCAGGATGCAGTAAGAGGATTAGGAGTTAGTGAACTCAGCAGCAGCCTCCTAGTGGGCCGCCTCTCCCATCTAGGCCTGGATGGTAATATATAGGATGCTAATTACATCTAAAAACATCTCCACCATCCACATTACCATTGGCCAGTAATAGAAGATTAAAAAATGGGGTTACTTACTAGTTAGGTTCCGCCATAGGCCCTCCTGTTAGAAAATGTGAAAGAGGTATCTAAGCTTCACACAGTCTGCTAATAGGTAATGTGCTACCCCTACCCATGTTATAGGCATCATATTCCTCACACCAGGTGTTGTTCTCCACCAAAAATCAGTAAACCCTCTATCACCCTAGTCCACTGCCTTTACTATCACCAGGGCTATAGTGTCAGTTTCCACATTAGCTGCTTAATAATAGTCATCCAGCAGCAGCAAGAATGACAGGTAATATAGGAGGTGCATCACACACCAGTCAAGGTGCCCCTGGCTATCACTGCCAGGGGCACTAGTATGATGTGCCTCCTTATCTAGGGCACCACTGCGCTTCATCTCTACAACCAGCTAGATGAACTAGATGTGGTGCTCCTCAAGCACCCTTAGGGGGTGCTAAACATCCACCAACATTATCTACATGGGTGGGATTTCATCGCTAATTAAGGTGGTTAAGTTAGAGACATTAACAGGATCCCCTATGTCTCTCTGGAGGCAGATCATGTGTATGATAATAGGCAGGGCCCAGTAGGCCTCCTAGGGCACTAGATGCCCCTTCTTAAAAAGACTGATGAATGCCTTCAGCTGGAGGAGATTATATAGTAGTGGGGTTAGGAGTTAGTCCATCTTAGCAAAGCACTTATACTCCAAGAACTAATTAAAGTCAGTATTGTCAGTATCAACAGCACCATGTAAGCTTGAGGAGATGATTACAAGATAACCATAGAGATTAAAGGCGCAGTTATAAAGGGGCGTTGCAGTTAGAAACCAAATATAGGGGGCTTTAAGCAGACTGACTAACTAGTATACATATGTCTAGATGGTTTTAGCTGCATGGCCCTCATCATAGACCACACAGCTAAACCATCCAGACACTACTAACTTATATCACTTTCCCAGTTATGCTTTTCAGCCAGAGCTGAAATCCTCTGTCTCATCTATATCTCTATCATTACCCATTTCAGCTGCATCCTGCAATAGTGCCAACTACTCTATAGCTAGTATATTCTCATTAGGGTTTTCGTCCTCGCCATCCTCAGCTCCATCAACCTAGCGGCCCTTGCCTTTGCCATCAACCTTAGTCACTTCAGTCACGGTGCGTGCGGCCTAGGTACTATATAATGAGAGGATAATTATTTATGATATCTTCACATCATAGTCATTAAGCTGCCTAAGTTATTCCTCCAGGTCCGCAAGTGTATCGACAGTAAGGGACTTGTATATATAATTTAAAGTATAGGCTAAGAGCCCATGAAAGAGAAGGATAGTGAATATATCACCCAACCTCACCATTAGCTTAGTCAGCTAAGTGTCAATGAGGGCAGATGGACAGAGAATGATTATTAGTCTATAGGCATGTGTCAGGTCCTTCTCTGCTTGAATTGATGCATACCAGATCACTGTAATAGTCATCATTATTTTGCCAGTGCCACAGGCATCAGCAAGGATGCCTACAGCAACCAGGCTTACTTCTTAGCAAAGCATCCAATATGCCCCCAAGACTTGCCATTTCTTAAGGGTCGTGGCTGGTTGGTTCATATTCAAAGGGACAACCAGAAGGGGGTTTAGTGGATCAAGTGCAAGTTCCTAGCAGGCGCAGTTGTATAAAGGTGGGTCAGCAGAGAGGGTCATCCACCCCTTAGCATCACCAAGCTCACCCTCCTCAGCTTACTCAGTCTCAGTTCCGCCTGCCTTACTTGCAGTGAGCACAACCATCTCTAATGCATTACTAGCAGCCACCAGCCAATTCAGGAAGACTTGGGTCTCTAAATCCCCCACCAACATGTCAGCAGGTTCATGAATGATGAGCTTGCTCTCAAAGTCATCCATCCCCATCATATAAGAGCATAAGAGCTCTTACTCTGATTTTATTATCAGAGGCCAGGTAATCACTACCTTGTTCCTGGCATGGTCTAACCTAAAGATGCATTCAAGGCTCTCCTAGACTATATCATAGTTGTTAAGTGTAGTAAGGTTACCCTGATCAGCACACTCCCTTACTGTGATATACATGTTAACATCATTGTGGCCGCCGCCAAACATATCAGCAGCAACTATGTCAGGCTGCAGGGAGTTAGGCCAATCTTAGCTAGGGCCAATACTCAGGTCAGTTAGGTTTAGGTTATAGTAGACAGGCTCCAGTGCTAGGTTTACTTAAGGCTTATTTTTAGCCTTTTTACCACCTTAGATCTATTTCCACACAAAGGCCAGCAACTTCCAGCTGTGCAGGATGTCATACAGATTAAGGACCAGGGGATCAGTGGAGAGGTTGCTTCACAGGAAGAGCAAGCCCTTAGCTCTCATTAGTTACACGACAAACCAGAGGACCGTCAGCTCTGGGATCTGTATATCTTTAACACCCAGGACACCAACACATGGCACCACTGGGGCCAGCAAGATAGGGAGCACATTAGCATCCTACAACTAGTCTACAACAGTATTCTTAACCGCGCCTTTAATCTTGCCGGTATAGTCATAGTTATTAGCACAGATGTGGATATATCCATAGATGATATCCTTGGTTGCTGGCTCATTATTAATCAGGGCCCAGATCACAGCAGAATCCTTCAGCTTAAAGCAGCCCACAAGGCGGGTGGCACTGCCCTCTAAATTCTGGACAAAACTCTTATTATAGCTAACGCTAGCAATGCCGCACAGTTAAGTCATATTAGACGCCATAACTTCCTAGAAAGATTGACCATGGTCAGCCATCACTTTTACAATGCACACTCCATAATTTCAGTACCAGCCAAAAGCTCAGCCTCCTAACAACCTAAGCCGCACCATGAGCATTATGGTCGATTTCGGCCCCAGCCAACTTGGCCTCAGGCACCCACTCCCAACGTTGTCTCCGGCCAAAATCAGCCTGGGGGGGAATCTGCTTGATTTCAGCCCCGGCCAACTTAGCCTCAGGCACTCACTCCAGACATTAGCTCCGGCCGAAATCAGCCTGCGGTGGGGAATGCCTGATTTCAGCCCCAGCCAACTTGGCCTCAGGCACCCACTCCAGACATTGGCTCCGGCCAAAATTTGCCCAATCGGGCAAGGCTGATCCAACAGGTCAGAGAGGGAGGGGCTTCAGGTGATGACTTACTGCAAGAAATAACTATTTTGTAGTTGAAAGTGAAACGGAAGTTGGCGATAATTATAAGGGTGAAATTTGTGGCTGCAATGCGCACAGATCAAACAGTTTTTGGATGTTGGGGATGATGTTAGCCTGGCTTTCAAATCAAGCAAGTTTGAAGACCAACACCCTTGACTCTTTTAAGTCCCTCAATCAAGGATTCACCGATTGCGGCGGGAGCCAAGGAGACTGGACAGTTAAAGGTGTGCGAACAAAGAAGGTGTCGGGAGGCGGTTTAGTAGACAAAGAACGACAAAGCCGGGTGTCAGGGACAAAAGAATAAATTTTCAGATAAAGCTTACTAAGTAATCACCAAAGACATAGATTAGCAAAGGAAGTGAGATTACACTAATTTCACTGAGGACTGAGAGATAGCTCACTGATAGATAACTAGGGACGGGAGTCTAGTACACTGTATGTCATCATTCACTATTAGTATCCCTTGTAAAGAGTGATGCAACTAGAATCCTCACTACTGGGTTCTATCAGTACACTCAGGTAAAAGAAAAATGTGGCTGAGCAGGTCTTTATCATAAGAAAAGAGAGCAAGTCAAACACCTAAGTGGTGGAATTTAGAAACAAGGAAACAAGCAGTAGAAAATAGAAATAAGGAACACTGGATTGCCCCAAGTTCAGCAGGCCAAAGGGTGCAAGCAATGAGACATGCCAAATTCACATCTAAATACTGGCTCAGGTGGAAATCCAATGCTCATGGGGTTTGGTACAGACAAAGAAACACTAGGGATTCTCAGGGGCATGGAGAGGAAGATAAATAACTCAGCTTCAGCATTATAATAAAGAAAAGTAATAAAGAAACTGTAGATTGCTCCTGGTGCTATAGAAGGGTTTGCAAGGGGAAGTATACGCGCTAGATCTGCCCTAATTCCATTGGCTCTAGCAGAAATCCACAGGTTGTGTTGGTCCAAGCGAAGGAAACAGGGGAAATTCAGACAGGGAGGTGAAAAAGGAGATGTAATATTAAAGCAGAATTAATAATGAAGTTATTAGAAGCAGATACTGACCTTAAAATTATTCATAGTTGGAGATGAGATGTTGTTAGCGATGGTGTTAAGGGGAAGAAGAAGAAGAAGATAGAAGGAGGTAAGATGGAGGTGGATAAACAGAATTATACATTATATAGCACAGGGTTAAAGCCCTAGGCAAGACATTTCATAGAAAAGTGAATATATTTGTGAATGTATGTTGCCGTGAACATTAAAGCTATACAGAATATACCATCAAGCAATCTGATTAGTTGAGCCTGAGCACCCACCCACAAGTGTCTTAGCTAATGACATCATCACATGATATTCAGCCGCCCTGACAGCACAGTTGGCTCTGGCCGAAATCAGGGGCACCTAGCTGGCCTGGCTGTGAGCAAGCAACAGTTGGCTCTGGCCAAAATCCAGGGCACCTGGCTGTGAGTGAGCGACAGTTTGGGTCTGGCTGAAATCAAGGGGCACCTGGCTGTGAGCAACATAGGTTAGATAAGCACAGGTAAGAGAAGCTGTGAGGATCCTATACATGGAATGGATTAACAGGGTCAAATTAGATGGAAGTTCTTCAAGTCTTTATTAACTCATGGTAAAAGAAAATGATTTTCAGGTATCATCAACTCCCAGACATAACTTATCTAACAGCCTGTCTTTTCCTATCCACACTGACATCCAAATCAGCATGCGGGTTGGCTGACCATGATTCAATAGATGTAGAACTTATATCCAAGTAACCTATCTTACACAGCAAACACTAGAAAAAGTCATCTAGCATTTACTACTGGCAGCTGGTAGTTCAGATGTTGCGCACATTGCTGTCACACTAGCAGAGGTGGTTCAGGGAGTCATTACTCTCACCATGAGCATAGAGGAAGCCACAGAGAGCATAGCTCTAGTTGTTGCCAGTATAGCAACTGTTCTCATCAACCTTGCTAATGGAGATCTGGATGGAGGTATGGTTATTGGCCCTAATAATATGGTTGGTAGTGCTGCACTTGCAGTGAACGCAGCTATAAGAAAGGAAGACTTAAAACCAGAAACAGTGTAGATAGTAAAGGAAAGTGAGGTAGTATTTACTTATAGATTAATCTCCCTTCTCATTCTCCATCTTGGCGGTTTAATAGAGTTAAGCTTGATAGGGAGGAAGATGAAGAATGAGAAGAGAGAGATAGTTAACTATATATTAGGATAGTTGAATGGTGAGCAGATGATAGAGTATTATAAAGTATAACTAGATAGATAAGTAAGCACATGATACCTGGCCCTAACCAAAATTAGTATGCACATACAGATTAGAGTGGTTTAGTAAGGTGGTTAAGGTTAACAACAGTGAGGAAGATAGAGAATGAAAAGGGACAGGAGAGATTAACTGTCATTATAGGTGAATAAGTAAGGTGATGAGGCAGTACAAGAAATGATTACATAGTTATGAAATACCTAGATTAATACCTACACTAGTGAAACATGGCCCCGGCCGAAATCAGGGCATGCCAGCCTGGTTAACAACCATTGTTCATTATAATGGGCGGTAGGATAGGAGAATCAGTGTGTTAGCCTGTGGGTATAGGAGATCCAGTAGGCATATATATAAGATGATAGATTCCCATCAGGTAAAAATAGAGCTAATTCCTAAGCCTTAGTATTAGGGGATATGCACCTCCACTAGGTAACTTCCTTAGTCCATCAATGCCTGTACTTTTGTGTTTTGATGATTCCTTTCTACATACACCTTGGCCCTGTGCAATAGCCATTTCTTCCTAGAGCTAGTAATAAATTAATAGCCAGGCCTGTGACATCCATATCTATCTTTTAGTTCCAGAAATGGAAAAGGGCATAGGGCTTCTTATTCACACAGGGTAGCCTAAACATCCTTAAGACATAGAAGATCATAATCCTCTATTGCTTGAACCTCATTATAAGTAATTAACCAATCCACATAGTGTCATTAAAGGTATGTAGCCCTTAATATATATGGTATAGCAGTGCCATGGTTAATACATATCAGTAATTTCCACTCTGTGAAGTGCTTAAGGAATGGCCAGGGAGTGTCCTTAAATAGCTAAGAGATTATGCCAGGTGGCAGGGAGAACTATAGAGTAGGCTAACTAGATATTACTCTTAGCTAAGAGACTTATAAGGTGGGCTAGAGGATGAAGTCATGCCATAGATAGGATGCCCACTAAAAGATGTCTAATTTATCCCCAAAGCCTGCATGTGGTATAGCCCTGTCCCTGGCATAGATATATTAATTAATTAAGAAATAATGTCCAGCCTAGGCAGCAAAGACATTCTAGAGCAGTGCTACTGCTTGAGCTAGGTCCTCCCCAGAAGCCTGAGATGGTAAGTGCTTCTTAGTGATTCCAATAGCAATATGACAGTATTTTTATATTATAAGGCGCACACCCTCAAAGGCCCCCTCACTTAACTCAAACATCATCTATAATACCTATCCCCTCTCTGCTGTATGCCTTGCTCCAGGCACAGCAAACAAATAATAATCATCTATAGGTTAGGGTTTAGGGGGCTGGGTTAGCAGAGCAGGTGTAGATCCTTTCTTTCACCTTTATCTCTTCTCTCAATTAAGAGCCAAAACAAGGGATCACACATGAACAAGGTAAAGTACTACCAGCCTCCTAACCAGTGGTGGAAGAAACTAAGGTGTATAGTTATATGACTCAGTCTAATTCCGGCTCTTATTATAATCTATAATGATAAGCACAGATCTATTATAAATAAAGATATTTCATCAAGATATAGATATATTCTGCTACTTAATGTTCCAGAGCTCTGTGCCTCAACTTAGCTGCCCCCAAGTCACATTAATCAGTACTACAAGTTCTCATAGAAACTACTTTACATTACTTAGATATTTATCTACATCTTTGAAGTCCCATGTGTCCTTTTACCTTATAGGTTAAATGCCATCAGGTGGAGTCTCACAGAGCTATAGCAGTACTTCACAGGATATTTAACACAGTGACAGCAGATCTAAAAATAAGAAGCTGGCTATATCTTCACATAGCTGGTCCTGTAAGTCAGCTAGCATGATTAGTGACTTATAGCCCCAGAGCAGGACTTCATCCAAAAAGGAAGTTAGATTTGATATCATACCTTAGACCTAAGCACACATTAAGTCCATTGCAATGCCTCTAGCCCTATTATGGTGGATGACTTGCCCATCATCTGACCAGTGCACATTTAGGGGTCACTTCTAGTGATGTGTAATACTGAGCCCTTTGCTCATCAACCACAGGAGCTCAGCCATGGGATACCAACTATCCCATCCAGCAAAGATACTGTATACCAACAGTGCCCGGTCAAGGTAATTCAGATATTCAGTACAGGGATGGATATTAGGAATAAACCCATAGGGCTTGACTAGCAGGGCATATTCTAATAGTAATATCTGTGATACCCATAAGAGAGCTGCAAGTTTGGAAGTGTAGCTGTAAGGATCATAGAAGCTCTTTATCTTAGGTTAGATTCCACACACAGCAGTGAAAGTAACAATCACATTTCAAAATTTATCACCATGTGTGTGGCCAGCCTTTCTAGTAAGCAACCCAATACAGAATGAAAAAAGCCACTCTTCCAGCCAGGCCTGACCAGTTGAGGGAAGGCAGCGCAGGATGTGATTATTATTTTAATGTCTCAGGTCTCCAAGTCTGGGCTTTGTAGTTTCAGGGGGAAACCAGTCATCAGAGTAGTTACTCTCAGTGCCTGAGAATGATGATGCTCAGCCTGATCTAAGCTCATCTACAGTAAAGCTTAGATCAGTACTATCAGATCCATCACTTCCATCTAAAGCTACTTCAGTGTCATCTCCTGAAGGGTTAATTAACTGACTTAAGGATTGCATGATGGAAAGGCGGTTGCAATAATATGGCTATTATAAATAAGGGTTTATATTCCTCTTCTTAGACATAACCTTTAACTTCCTGCCTCCACATCTTATTATCATTAGGGTTAGAACTATATTAGGGGCTTGCTCTCCGGGTGGAAAGCTCCCTAAACCTTAAGACACCGCCTGCATGTTATAGGTTTTGGACAGAGGTGGAATAACCACACTAACTAGTATCTGAAACAGCTATTACTCTGAGAGCTATTATCACTTCATCTGAAGTTGCTGTTAAGCTAAAGGCCCCTGCTACTTAATTTAATGGCTAGTAGATCCTTGGCTGCCAACAGCACATTGTGAGCTAAACTCCAGATCTTGTGATCATTCAGTAGGCCTATCTTCCAAGGGATCAGGATTAGTGAAACTATCTTTAATATAGCTCTTAAGGAAGTAGTCAAGCCAATCCCATATTAGAGTAGCTTCCCATTCCTATAAAGGATCTAAAAATACCCTAAGCTTTGACCATTGCACTTTATTATCTCTGAGAGGCACACTGCAGAAGATGAAGTAAAGAAGCTGTCTCCAGACCTAGATATAACCCTTCTCTGTGCTAGGGTTTAGGAAGTCAAGTGGACGCTTTCCTTAGTGTTATACAATTAGACTTAAAAACACTTCCTTAATAGAGGTAGGTATCTGGCGGAGTGTTCAAAATGCTTACTCCATAATATGATTAAAGGTCACCAGGATCATGGTGAGTATCTGGTTACTGTGATTAATCAGTGCTTACTTAAATTAGTAATTAACATCTAGCGCACCCCAGAATGGCTGGAGCTCATGGATGGACTGCAGCATACTAACATGTCTAGCTACCCAAACCATTCCATCTAATGAGCGTCCGTGAAAGTAGTGCAACCACTCTGTGGATTAAAGCTAAGGAGTAACATCATCATTAAGATGGTGGTTATTGAGGAGAAATATATCATCTAAGTTTAGAGAGGGACCAGCAGTATATCCAGCCATATCTTCTGCATTTGGAACCAGACTAGGGATGGGTTTGGTGCCAACATGAGAGTCTAGAACTTAGAGAGGTTAGCATATATTAGCAAAGGTAATGAGATAGAATCTTTACCCAATGCATTAGATGAGTATTTCTAAACATTATGAACTTGAGTCTCTTCATATATAAGCCTGGAAATCCATGCTGGTCAAGTAGGTACTTAAATTAATAGTGTTTGTCTTGAATCACATGTCTCAGTTTCAGTCTGTTTAGTTAACTGCGAGTCGGGCTGTGAGTTAGGGACTAGAAGGATTGGCTGGTTAGCATATTTTAGATATAATGTATAAATCCTTATCTAGAACTCTAGCTGGTTCTGGACCTAATGGTTGTGAATTAGGGATATCTGCATCTACAGCATGTATTAGCAAAATATTAGTGAGGATGTTGTAGGTTTATATAGATACTATCTGAAATTATCTCTAACTCGCGCTGCACCAAAGGTAGTGAAGACCTGATCTCAGGCGCGCAAGCACCTTGTTAATGTAGATCCTCAGTCTTAATCACCTAGTATCTAGTCTTTAGTGATCCACAGAACCACTGCTGGCCCTGGACTTGAACTAGACTTGGCCCTAGACCAAGATGTTGTCATTGATGATGTTTCCTAATCAAATTACAAGATGGAGTTAGGAAATTGCAGTCAGGGCAGTGCCATAGATTAACTGTCTTTAGATAGGGAACAGGTATTATATATGGTGGAATTAGGAAGTCTGAGTGATCATGGCGTGGCTTTGCGTTAGATGGAATGCATTGTAGGTGATGGTCTTGGTTTTCAGGGGGCACCTTATGCACGTTAATGAGATGTCTGTGCTTGACTTTTGTGGGAACTGCAATGCAGTATTTAAGGCAGAAAATTGCCTGGTATGTGGTGCTATACAAGTATAGACTAGGTTCACTAGCTATTGCCATTCCCAGTGTGTTCAAATTAATGGATAGTGGGATACTTGTAAGGCACTTATGAAATTATAATAATGTTATGCGTGGAGTCCATGTCACAGGGGGGTGTTGGTTAGTTTTGGATTAATCAGCACAGGAGGTGAATGGCAGTGGGCGGGAAGTCTTATTAGGCTTTGAAATAGGGGTAAATGTTGATATCGCTGCATTTTAGCTAGAGCCAAAATAGAATTGCTCTAGAAATGAAATGAGGGCTGGAAAAACTAATATAGTGAGTTGAAGGATTTTAGCCGGAGCCAAAAGGGAATGGCTCCGGCCAGAATCCTGATGTGAATAGATGGATTTCAGCCGGAGCCAAAAGGGCATTTAATGGCTCTGGCTGAAATCCCAATGTGAATGGATAACGGATTTCAGCCAGAGCCATTAACTTTTGGGCTCTGGTTGAAGGGTTACTGGTTAAAATAATAAATTTACTATGGGTCTAGTACTAGATAACTAATTATTTATTTTTAGTAGATAGTAGGGACTTTTAGCTGTAGAATAATAATAGACTAATTATATAAGTATAATTCCTGGTTTATTAAAAATTATTAAAAGCTACTTTAAAATTTATTACCTGCTAACTAATTATAATTATTTTTAGTGAATAGGCTAAATTTTAACTAGAAGAATAATATATAGTATGCTTAGTAATACTAAGCCTAGAATTTTTAAAAATTTATAGAAGTTAATGTTTTGTGGATTTCATTTAGAGAGTAGATCTAGATATAGTAGTCTAGTAAGGAGAGGCCTATAAGTAGGCTACCTAGACTAGATTATTTAGATATGATAGGTCCCTATATAGGCTATCTAGACTAGTTAATTTAGCTTTAATAGGTCCCTATGTAGGCTATCTTAACTAGATATTTTAGCTTTAATAGGTGCCTGAGCAGGGTATCTAGACTAGTTAATTTAGTATGGCTTAGTCTAGTAATTTAGCTTTAATAGGTCCCTGTGTATAGTATCTTAGACTAGGTAATCCAGCTTTAATAGGTCCTGTATGGGCTATCTTAACTAGGTGATTTAGCTTTATTAGGTCTAAACTATATATATTAAGGTCATTCAGATGTAGATAGACCTTTAATTAGTAAATATATATATAGTAGGGTCATCTAGATCTAGGCAGATTTTAATATATATATATATATATAAATATAAATAAATATGTATATTAAAGTAAAATAAATATATTTAACTTATACTAGCCTTATAATTCTATAATTATCTAGATCTATCTAGGCCTATCTATTATATCTAGTAGAATAAGAAATACTAAATCTATAGAATAATAGGGCCCCTTTATAGTAGGGGAAGGATAATAGTGGGTTTAGAGCTAGGGAATAAGGGATTAGGTATATAGGTATAAAATATACTCTATAAGAGTAGATAGATTAGTTAATTAAGTATAGGATAGATATAACTACTAATAAGAATAGAGAAGATAGTAATTTAAAAGATAATAATAAGAATTACTTTATATATATATATTTTTATGTAAGTATATAAGAAGGATAATTTATATAGTTTAGTTTAGTAGTTTAGATTTTAATATATATAAAGGGTTTATAATTAAATATTACCTTAGAAGAGATAGATAGATCTAATAAGTATAAATTAAAGTAGTAATAATAAGTATATAAGAACCTATACTAGGCTGTAAGGCTTTCTAATTAAGATAAAAGGCCTACTATAATTAACCTCTATAGTTAATTATGCCTAGCTCCTATATATATATCTTTAAGTCTATCCCACAAGGGGTGGAGCACCATGGTCATGGTGCGTTTAGGGTGTGTAGCTACTGATTACTTGGCAAACCCCAAGTCCGCGCATGGTGGGTTTACACACTTAGTGGCATGGTGCATTTAGTAATAATAGGCTGATAATGCTCAGATTTTTTCCTTATATAGAGTAGCTATTTATCTTTTCACTAGTTAAATTTAAGGTCTATTAATTCATTCTTGAAGGTGTGGTGTGGTTATAAAATTACCTTATTCAACCTCTGTAATTTTGTTGGGGTATCACCCGCACCTACATTAGATTCAGGGGTAGAGGTATTCCCATCTCTTAGAATTCATAAATAGTCATCTAAATTCATTTAATCCATCCATATTCATCCATAGTTATTATGGAAAACCAGTTATTTTGTTAGGTGCCGACCCTAGGCATACTCATTTGCCATCAATGCCAGCAGGGGGTGCGACCAGCAGAGGTGGATCAGCATCTTAAGAAGAAGCATCACCTAAAGCATGCAGTCACTAGCCAGATCATCCAGGCAATATCTCAATGGGATGATATTCAGTATAAGAGTAGTATAATCTGCATACTATATGAATTAGATCAGCCACTGCCTATATTACCATGTCAATTAAATGGCTTGCTCTGCCAGCAAGATCCACTATGCTTATTCATTGCCTCTACTATGAAATCTATGCGAAAGCACTGGCGAATAGTTCACCAGTGGTCCCAGCAGGGCCATCGCGGGCGGGTAGGCCCAAAGGAGAAGGCTAGGGGTGAGGCAGAGCTACAGCAGTCATTTCAATATGTCTCATGGCAGCAGGTGTTCCCTAGTGGTCCAGGGTCCCACTATATCTATATTCGATATCTAGATGGGGTCCCCCACCCCCATCTACCCAGGGCGTGCAGGCTGCAGTAGATGAGGTGGTGCAGGCCTGGGAGCAGGCCCAGGCCCGGGCCAAGGCCGATCAGGCCATCCAGGCCAGCCAGCTGACTGACGCGAACCCCTGGCTGCGGATGACTCAGTGGGCTGACTATCTGCAGGGCACCCAGGCCCATGACCTGCTAGCCTGCGTGGCAGCCCCAGAGGAAGATCCCCAGGATGCCACTAAGCAGCACGTGCAGGTCATCTGGGCCACCATGGAGCAGGTTGCCCATAAGAGCCAGCAGACAGTCCAGCATTGCGGCCAGGCCATCCAGGTGGAAGCCGTCCGGTCCGAAAAGGGGCAGACCCCATACCAGCTGCTGCTGGCATACATGGATGAGGCTGCAGTCCAGAAGCATGTCCGTCCATGGCAGCAGATATTAGCATTCATTGCCCGCACGCAGGCCCCGCACGGCTGGACCAGCCCGAAATATGGGATGACCGCGCGGCAGCGCCAGAAATGGCGGCAGCTGTGGCAGCTCACTAGCCAGGCTGCAGTTCCAGGGGACCTGGAGAACCCAGAGGACCTAGAGGTATAGATGATGACTGCTATAGAAAAAGCATGCTTAGAATTTTGCATTAAGCTGCTTAACCAGCGCCATCACAGCCATAAATATGAGAGTGCATTAGTATGCGCCATGGCCGTACTTGGTTAGGGTGAGGCTGGCTGGCGGGACCCAGAGAGCTACCTACTAATATTATCCTGCGTGATTAAGGTGGCCCGATTCATGGTGGTCCAGAAAGCATTATGGATGGACCTGAATCCATGGCAGATCATTCAGACCTAGATATAAAAGGACCAGAGCGCTGAATGGGTCCTAGCTAGCGCAGATGATTAACTTAGGGAGATTGATGAGGGATATGGCAGTGATGACCCCTAATCATCACCACCATCATCACTACCATCATCCATCCATAGTGATGATCCATTGCCCGCGGTCAATATTTGCTAGAGCCGCTGACTGTTCCAGGAGCAGGTGATATAGATGATGCACCAGTTTATAATCCATAGGACACATGGCCCCATAGAAATATTGCTAGACTGGTGTATGTATGGATTAAAGGTCTATTATAATTATACCACGCCCGGATATGTGATATGGATGGGTGAGGACTAGTTATTATACCAGCAGATGGTGTTCACAATGGGGGATTTTCAGGGATTCATCTATGGATTAGTGACTGCAGCAAGTAGATGGCATTATATAATGATCCCAGCCAGACCCAGGCAGGGTGGAACTTTCTGCACGACGCACAGACCCAGTGGCCGGTGGATGGGACCCACTAGATGATTGACCAGCTGCAGGCCGAGCTGGTCATGCAGCAGCATTTTCTGCGGGGCGGCCAATTCCACCCCACCGCTATCCAGCAGTATTAGCAGCGCGTGGCCCAGTTCAAGGAGAAATTAGTAATTATTATGCATGTCACTGCAGGGCAGCCGGCCTGGGCCCCAGAGTTATTAAGCATTCAGCATTGCAACACAGCAAATAGTCAACAGCAGAATATATATATTGAGGATGGCATGGTGATATTTGTGATGGCATATCATAAGGGATTCCATGCTAGTAATGATGTCAAGATCATCTATTAATATATGCCGCAGGAGGTCGGGGAGTTAGTAGTATGGTATATGTGGCTGGTGATGCCATTCATTAATCAGTTGGCTGCATGGCAGGCGGCGCAGGCAGCGCAGGGAAGTCAGGTAGCGCAGGGAAGTCACACCGTGTGAAGTCATGACGCACACGCATGGTTATGGGGCCCTGACCCCAGTACTGATTATGAATGGTCGTCCGAGCGGTTCCGGGAGGCGTTGAAGCGGGAAACCCACACCCAGCTTAGCGCCACCATCCATATCGCAGCGTACCGGGACATCGCCATTGGAATCAGTTGCCAATTTTTGCGGCCATCCACTGCGTTCCCCCATAATATCCAGGAGGCGGAGCCGGCCCCAGCTGCCATGGATGCTGATGCCGAGGACGCCATGGATATTGAGCAGTGGATGGGACATATTGCTGATCTACAAGCCGCCCATTCATCGCATGTGGCTGGTATGGTATATGGCCACGGCATCTAGGAACAGGCTGGCAGCACTGTGCACCGGCAGGAGATGTTCTGGTTATCCAGCACCGATTGGCATCAATTTTTAGGGTTTGGGGCCCCCCAATCCACATTAGGCAAGCGCAAACGGGCCCTGTGGGAGGATGAGGCCGAGGTCAGCCATATGGAATGCCGCCACTAGTTGGCAACAATGGATCTGGAGGCTGCCGCGCAGCGCATGATGGGGCGGCCTGCTATGCAGTTCCGGGGGTCCAGGACCCGGCCATGCGCGCCATCCAGCGGGGGAGAGCCCCGTGGTCGCAGTAATGCCCACGGGTGGAGGGAAGAGTATGTTGTTCATGGTGCCCGCGTTCGCCACCCCTGGGGGCACCACCATTGTTGTGGTGCCGCTCGTCGCATTATGGGCCGATATGACCAGGCGCTGCCAGGAGCTCGGCATATCGTGTGTGCCATGGGAGAGCCGGCAGCCCCTAGATGCCGCATCCATCGTGTTAGTGACGCCCGAATCCGCAGTGAGCCCCGATTTCTAGATGTTTTTGAACCGGCTGCGGTGGACCCGGCGGTTGGACCGGATCGTGATTGACGAATGCCACGTAGTGTTGAATTCCCAGTGTGATTTCTGGCCCCAGATGGCGTAGCTAGGCCGGTTGATCCAGGCCCGCACCCAGATGGTATGGTTGACCGCCACGTTGCCCCCAAGCATGGAGGATGAATTATGCCGGCGGATGAAGCATAATCGGGCCGCCATGACCATATACCGGTCCCAGACCAGCCGCCCGAACGTGGGATACCGGGTATGGCGGCTGGACATGACCGGGGTGGGCCGGGGGCCGTATCAGTGGATTAAGAGCGAGGCGGTGGTGGCATTCATTCAGGACCGCATCCGACAGGCCGCTGGGGGGAAGGTGATCATATATGCGAATATCATCAGGCAGGTGACGGCCATGGCGCGGGTGCTTAGGTGTGAGGCGTATTACAGTGAGCAGTTGGACAAGGCTGGGGTGCTGGCGCGGTTCATGGGGGCCAGCCCAGTGATCGCCGCCACCAGCGCGTTAGGCATGGGGGTGGACATCCCCAATATCCGCAGTATCATCCATATTGGGACCCCCCGGACGTTACTGGATTACGCGCAGGAGAGTGGCCGGGCTGGGCGAGATGGACAGCGCAGTGAGGCAATCATTATCCAGCCAGCTGGGTGGGATGCCCCAGCTCCATGGATGGAGGGCGTCGCCCCCAAGGACCAGGAGCAGGTTGCTGAGTATATGGGGATGGTGGAAGGCATTGGGTGCCGCCGGGTTGTGTTAGATCAGTATTTAGACGGAGTGGTGGACGGGTATCAGCAGCGGTATTACCAGGATGCGGATGCCGGGGAGCAGGCATGTGACAGGTGTGATCCCGATTGGGAGGGGCGGGAGGTGGATCCAGCCAGGGTAGGTAGTAGCCCCGTGCTGGGTGAGCAAGCCCCAGAGGTTCCGTGCCAGGCAGGCCATCAGGCAGGGAGAGAGGCAGGGAGAGAGGCACCCCAGGTCAGCCACAGCCAGCTGCCGTGCGAGGTCCCCAGGGAGGCTGCCAGTCCCACCCCATCCAATGAGTCATTTTGCAGCCAGCCATCCATTCCCATGGCGGTATGGAACGCCCAGCAGGCGCAGGCCCAGCAGTGGGCTGCCATGGATATCCAGCAGCAGCAGCATCGGACCCAGCAGGGTTTGGATGAGGAGATGGCCCAGGCTGAATGCATGCAGTGGCGGGACCAATGTTATATATGCGCCATGCAGGGGGTGATGGTGGCCATGAGTTATATGCATGTCATCAGCCCCACAGCCAGGCCGCACGGGCATGGATGATCCGCGTGCGTCGGCAAGTGCAATATGCCCCGTATAGCGCGTGTTTTTCGTGCGGCATGCCCCAATCCATATGCCGTGGGTGGGAGCCAGGCCATGCATGCGAATACCGCGGGGTTTTGATCCCCATGGTGGCCATGATGTTATTCGGGCCATGGCAGGGCCAGATCGAGCCCGTATGGCAGCGCTGGTTGCAGGGAATGGGGGTTGATGGGCAGGATGAGGCCCAGGTGGTCCAGTTTTTAGGGCAGGCGCACCCCAACCATGAGGGGCACAGCCAGTTATTTACATCATTTTGTTGGTTATGGCGGTTATGTCAGGAGATCGAGGTCGATCAGCATTGATATATTTGGGAATGAATATATATTTTAGTATACCATAATGCGCAGAGATATATATTATACGGTTGGTTTATATAGTATGTTAGCCGAATCAGTGGTTTATAAATATGTATATATATAATATCAACCATAGTTATGATAGACATAGGTAGTAGGTAGGTAGGGAGCAAGAGAGACAGTAGGTAGACAGTGAGGTAGACAGCGAGGTAGACAGCGAGGTAGACAGCGAGGTAGACAGCAAGGTAGACAGTAGGTAGGCAGTAAGGCAGGCAGTGAGGTAAGCAGTGAAGCAGACAGGAAGACAGGCAGTAAGGCAGGTAGTAAGGCAGGCAGCAAGGCAGGCAGCGAGGTAAGCAGCAAGGCAGGTAGTAAGATAAGCAGTAAGGCAGGTAGTAAGGTAGGCAGTAAGGCAGGCAGTGAAGGAGGTAGTAAGGCAGGTAGTAAGGCAGGCAGCAAGACCAGCAGTGAAGCAGGCAGTAAGATAGGTAGAATAAGGCCCAGGTAGTCCAGGTGGTCCAGGGTTTTAGGTTAGTGCATCCCAACCATAAGGGGCACCGCCAGTTATTTATATTATTTTATTTAGTACAGCAGTTATATCAGGAGATCAGGTTAATCAGCATTAATATATTAATGAATGAATATATATATTTCAGGATACCATAATGCGCAGAGATATATATTATACATTTAGTTTATAGAGTATATTAGCGAATCCGTGGTTTATACGCAGGGATATATATATAAGTGACATATCAGGGAATATATATCATATTAACCATAGTTAGGAGAGAGGTAGGTAGCAAGGTAGACAGTAAGGTAGATAGTAAGGTAGATAGTGAGATAGGCAGTGAGGTAGGCAGTAAGGCAGGCAATGAGCAAGGGGGCAGCGAGCCAGGCAGTGAGCGAGGGGGGCAGCAAGCAAGACAGGCAGTGAGCAAGCCAGTTAGTGAGTGAGGGAGGCAGTGAGATAGTAAGCTAGACAGTGAGATAGGTAGTGAGTGAGCCAGGCAGTGAGCAAGCGAGGCAGTGAACAAGCCAGTCAGTGAGCAAGCTAGCTAGTGAGGCAGGCAGTGAGCAAGCCAGGCAGTAAGCGAGGGAGGCAGTAAGCAAGCCAGGCAGTGAGCAAGCCAGGCAGTGAGCGAGCAAGGCAGTGAGTGAGGGAGGCAGTGACCAAGGCAGTAAGTGAGGGAGGCAGTGACCAAGGCAGTGAGTGAGGGAGGCAGGCAGTGAGCAAGGCAGGCAGTGAGCAAGCCAGGCAGTGAGCAAGCGAGGTAGTGAGTGAGGGAGGCAGCGAGCAAGGGAGCAAGCAAGTCAGGCATTAAGGCAGGCAGTGAGGGAGGCAGTGAACAAGCTAGGCAGTAAGTAAGGCAGGCAGTGAGTGAGGGAGGCAGGCAGTGAGCAAGTTAGGCAGTGAGCGAGCAAGGCAGTGAGTAAGGGAGTCAGTGACTGAGGCAGTGAGCAAGGCAGGCAGTGAGCAAGCCAGGCATTAAGGCAGGCAGTGAGGGAGGCAGTGAATAAGGGAGGCAGGCAGCGAGCAAGTTAGGCAGTGAGCAAGCGAGGCAGTGAGTAAGGGAGTCAGTGAGCGAGGCAGTGAGCAAGGGAGGCAGGCAGCAAGCAAGGCAGCAAGACAGGCAGCAAGACAGGCAATAAGACAGGCAGCGAGGGAGGCAGTGAGCAAGATAGTGAGTGAGACAGTAAGTAAGATAGTGAGTGAGATAGTGAGGGAGGCAGTGAGACAGTAAGCTAGACAGTGAGATAGGCAGTCAGTGAGTCAGGCAGTGAGCGAGCGAGGCAGTAAACAAGCCAGTCAGTCAGCAAGCCAGTCAGTAAGTGAGCTAGCAAGCAAGGCAGTGAGTAGGGGAGTCAGTGAGCAAGCCAGCTAGTAAGGCAGGCAGTGAGCAAGCCAGTTAGTGAGCGAGGGAGGCAGTGAGCAAGGCAGGCAGTAAGCAAGCCAGGCAGTGAGTGAGCAAGGCAGTGAGTGAGGGAGGTAGTGAGCAAGGCAGGCAGTAAGCAAGCCAGGCAGTGAGCGAGCGAGGCAGTGAGCGAGCAAGGCAGTGAGCAAGCGAGGCAGTGAGCGAGCCAGTTAGTGAGCGAGGGAGGCAGTGAGCAAGGCAGGCAGTAAGCAAGCCAGGCAGTGAGCGAGCAAGGCAGTGAGCAAGCGAGGCAGTGAGCGAGCGAGGCAGTGAGTGAGGGAGCAAGTGAGTCAGGCATTAAGGCAGGCAGCGAGGGAGGCAGTGAATGAGCCAGGCAGTAAGCAAGGCAGGCAGTGAGCAAGTAAGGTAGTGAGTAAGGGAAGCACGCAGTGAGCAAGTCAGGCAGTGAGGTAGGCAGCAAGCAAGGCAGGCAGCAAGTGAGGTAGTAAGTGAGGCAGGCAGTAAGTAGGCAGTAAGATAGGCAGTGAGGTAGATAGTAAGATAGATAGTAAGGTAGACAGTAAGATAGATAGTGAGGTTAATAGTAAGGTAGATAGTGTAGTCAATAGTAAGGTAGGTAATAAGGTAGATAGTAATATAAATATCATAGTAGATAGTAAGGTTAATAGTAAGGTAAGTAGTAAGGGAGGTAGTAATATTTGTAGATTAAGATTAGTTAGCATCCATATATTAAGTAATAGATATATATTAGGAGATCAAGGTTAATTAGGATTAATATATTAAGTAAATAAATATATATATTTTAGGATACCATAATAGCAGCAGAGATATATATTATATATTTAGTTTATATAAATATCCAAATCCATGGTTTATACATCCATATATATATATATAATTAGGTATCAGGGGGATATCACCATAGTTAGGAGAGAGATAGTTAGTAAGGTAGATAATAAGATTAATAGTATAGTAGATAGTGAGGTCAACAGTAAGGTTAATAGTATAGTAGATAGTAAAGTGAATAGTAAGGTAGATAGCAAGGTTAATAGGAAGGCAGGCAGCAAGAGAGGTAATAATATTAAGAGATTAAGGTTAGTCAGCATTAATATATTAGTGAATAAATATATATAATTTGGGATACCATAATGCTCAGAGATATATATTATAGAGTTAATTATAGAGTATATTAGCTGAATCCGTGGTTTATATACAGGCATATATATATATAATATTAGCCACATTCAAGAGAGAGGTAGGCAGTGAGACAGGCAGTGAGAGAGATAGTAAGGTAGCCAGCAAGGCAGGCAGTAAAGGAGGCAGTGAGCAAAGCAGTAAGTAAGGCAGTAAGCTAGATAGTAAGCTAGACAGTGAGGTAGATAGTAAGTGAGAGAGGCAGTAAGAGAGGCAGGCAGTGAGGCAGTGAGGTAGATAGTAAGGTTGACAGTGAGGTAGACAGTAAGATAGACAGTGAGCAAGGTAGCTAGTGAGACTAGCAGCAAGACTGGAAGTGAGCAAGGCAGTAAGGCAGTGAGCAAGATAGTAAGCTAGATAGTGAGCTAGACAGTGAGTGCAGCAGTGAGAAAGGCAGTGAGTGAGATAGTAAGACAGGGAGTAAGTAAGATAATAAGGGAGGCAGTGAGATAGGGAGTAAGTGAGGTAGCAAGACAGGGACTAAGGGAGGCAGTGAGATAGGCAGTAAGGCAGGCAGTAAGCAAAGCAGTGAGCAAGGCAGTGAGTAAGGCAGTCAGCAAGATAGTGAGTAAGATAGTGAGTGAGTTAGTGAGGGGGGCAGTGAGCGAGATAGTGAGGGAGGCAGTAAGTAAGATAGTAAGGGAGGCAGTAAGTGAGATAGTGAGGGAGGCAGTGAGTGAGATAGTGAGGGAGGCAGTAAGCAAGACAGTGAGCGGGATAGTAAGTAAGGTAGTAAGTGAGATAGTAAGGGAGGCAGTGAGCAAGACAGTGAGTGAGATAGTAAGTAAGGCAGTGAGTGAGATAGTGAGTGAGATAGTGAGTGAGATAGTGAGGGAGGCAGCAAGCAAGACAGTGAGGGAGGCAGTGAGTAAGATAGTGAGGGAGTGAGGCAGTGAGTGAGGCAGCGAGCAAGATAGTAAGCAAGATAGTGAGTAATATAGTGAGGGAGGCAGTGAGCAAGACAGTAAGTAAGATAGTAAGTGAGATAGTGAGTGAGGCAGTAAGATAGGTAGTAAGTGAGGCAGTGAGTGAGGCAGTGAGTAAGATAGTAAGCAAGGCAGGCAGTGAGCAAGTGAGGGAGGTAGCAAGACAGGCAGTAAGTAAGATAGTAAGTGAGTCAGGCAGTAAGGTAGACAGTAAGGTAGATAGTAAGGTAGACAGTAAGGTAGACAGTAAGGTAGACAGTAAGGTAGACAGTAAGGTAGACAGTAAGGTAGACAGTAAGGTAGATAGTAAGGTAGACAGTAAAATAGGCAGTAAGATAGGTGGTAAGACAGGTAGTGAGGTAGATAGTAAGGTAGATAGTAAGGTTAATAGTTAGGCAGGCAGTAAGAGAGGCAGTAATATCAGGAGATTAAGGTTAATCAGTAGTAATATATAAATGAATATATATATTTTAGGATACCATAATACGCAGAGATATATATTATACAGTTAGTTTGTAGAGTATGTTAGCTGAATCCGTGGTTTATACGCAGGCATATATATATAAATGAGACATCAGAGAATACATATAATATTAACCACATTCAGGAGAGAAGTAGGCAGCGAGATAGGCAGTAAGGTAGTTAGTGAGTGAGGCAGTGAGCAAGAGAGGTAGTGAGGGAGGCAGTAAGGGAGGCAGTAAGATAAGCAGTGAGATAGATAGTAAGGTTGACAGTAAGGGAGGCAGTAAGCAAGATAGTGAGGGAGGCAGTAAGATAGGCAGTGAGCAAGGCAATGAGGGAGCCAGCAAGTAAGATAGCAAGATAGGGAGTGAGTAAGACAGTGTATGAGATAGTAAGGGAGATAGTAGGATAGGTAGTAAGATAATAAGTAAATAGATAAGTAGGGTAGTAAGATAGTAATGTAGGTAAAAGGCCCCTAACACTATAATAGCCCATACCCGGGGGGGGGCATCATACTAATCCTAGGGTTGGCAGGGGGGGGGGGGAGGAGGGTAACTCATCCCCCCCCCTCAAAATGATCAAATCTTAATATTTTTAAATGATTTAAAAACATTTATGATTCTAGTTAGCTAAATTATTATATTCTAATATTAAATTCTAGATTAGTCACTAGGAAGGTGGTCAACTAGGGGGGTAGGGGTAAGGTCGAATTTTTTTGTTGGGGTATGCCAAGACCACCATCTGCGGGAAGTCTATACCCTTTTAGGCCACCACTAGTATAGATTAGTGCCTAAGGCATCTATTAGCTTAAGAGAGCCTTAGAATTCAGGCAGAAATTATGAGAAAAATAATTTCTAGTATTTATAAAGAGTCTAGTACTAGATGACTAATAATAAATATTTTTAGTAAATAGTAGGGACTTTTAGCTATAGAATGATAATAGTCTGATTATGTAAGCATAATTCCTGATTTTTTAAAAATTCTTAAAGAAGACTTTAAAATTTATTACCTGCTGACTAATTATAACTATTTTTAGTGAATAGGCCTTATTTTAACTAGAAGAATGATATATAGCATGCTTAGTGATACTAGGCCTAGAATTTTTAAAAATTTATAGAAGTTAATGTTTCATGGATTTCATTTAGAGAGTAGATCTAGACTTAGTAGTATAGTAGGGAGAGGCCTATAAGCAGGCTACCTAGACTAGATGATTCAGCTTCAATAGGTCCCTGTGTGGGCTATCTCAACTAGGTGATTTGGCTGCGATAGGTCCCTGCGTGGGCTATCTAGACTAGGTGATTTGGCTTCGATAGGTCCCTGCATGGGCTATCTTAACTAGTGATTCGGCTTCGATAGGTCCCTGCGTGGGGTATGTAGACTAGGTGATTCAGCTTTGATAGGTCCCTGGTGTGGGCTATCTAGACTAGGTGATTTGGCTTCGATAGTTCCCTGCGTGGGCTATGTCAACTAGGTGATTTGGTATGGCTCAGCCTAGTGATTCGGCTTTGATAGTTCCCTGCGCGCGGTATCTCATCCTAGTCATTCAGCTTCGATAGGTCCTGCGTGGGCTATCTCAACTAGGTGATTCTGCTTTAATAGGTCCCTGCATGGGCTATCTAGACTAGTTGATTTGGTATGGCTTAGCCTAGTGATTTGGCTTCGATAGGTCCCTGCATGGGCTATCTCAACTAGGTGATTTGGCTTTGACAGGTCTAAACTATATATATTAAGGTCATTCAGATGTAGGTAGACCTTTAGTTAGTAAATATATATATAGTAGGGTCGTCTAGATCTAGGCAGATTTTAATATATATATATATATATATATATAAATATGTATATAAAATGAAACAAATATATTTAACTTATACTAGCCTTATGATTCTATAATTATCTAGATCTATCTAGGCCTATCTATTATATCTAGTAGAATAAGATATACTAAATCTATAAAATAATAGGGCCCCTTTATAGTAGGGGGAGGATGATGGTGGGTTTAGAGCTAGGGAATAAGAGATTAGGTATATAGGTATAAAATATACTCTATAAGAGTAGATAGATTAGTTAATTCAGTATAGGATAGATATAACTACTACTAATAATAGAGAAGGTACAAACAATATAAGTGCCCATGCCTAGGGGAGGGCATCATACTAATCCTAGGGTTGACAGGGGGGGAGGGGAGGAGGGTAACTCCTCCCTACCCCTTAACTTTATCAAATCTTAATATTTTTGAATGATTTAAAATGATTTATGATTCTAATTAGCTAAATTATTATATTCTAATATTAAATTCTAGATTATTCACCAGGAAGGTGGTCGAACTAGGAGGGTAGGGGTAAGGTCGAATTTTTTTGTTGGGGTGTGCCAAGACCACTATCTGCGGGAAGCCTATACCCCTTTAGGCCACCACCTAGTATAGACACTGCCTGAGGCATCTACTAGCCTAGTAGAGCCTTAGAATTCAGGCAGAAATTATGAGAAAATAATTTCTAGTATTTATAAAGAGCCTAGTACTAGATGGCTAATAATAAATATTTTTAGTAAGTAGTAGGGACTTTTAGCTATAGAATAATAATAGTCTGATTATATAAGCATGATTCCTGATTTTTTAAAAATTCTTAAAAAACACTTTGAAATTTATTACCTGCTGACTAATCATCATCATTTTTAGTGAATAGGCCATATTTTAACTAGAAGAATGATATATAGCATGTTTAGTAATGCTAAGCCTAGAATTTTTAAAAATTTATAGAAGTTAATGTTTTATAGATTTCATTTAGAGAGTAGGTCTAGACTTAGTAGTCTAGTAGG